GAGACAGCATATGAGACGACGACCACTTTCTGCTGAGCCTTTATCAAAAAATAGTCTTCATTTTGTGCGTGTGTGCGCGTGTGCAGAGAGATGCTTTACCGAGACTGTCACCATGCAACCACAAGCAGTGGACGCAAACGACCGGGCCAGATTTGTTTGTCACCACCATTCAGCGCAACAGGCGCCAACGGAGCTCACATCGTAATGGGATCTAACGAATTAACAGAGATTTGTGTCCCCCTCATAAGAATGAACTGCGGGGATCAATGAAGTCAGTCACCTTACCACTATGCATGCTAAACATAGTCAGCGTCGAAGACGGTCATGCCGATTTTTTTTGTTTTAATATGTGATTAGAAATTCGAGATACAAGTGCCATTTTCAGACCCTCATTCACCCAAAAGAAACAATTTATAAATAAGTAAGTGCGATTGAATGTCAAGACTCTGAGAAGACATACGTCTAAGTACATCCCGGGGGATTGAATGGAATTTATCACTACCTTCTATACAATGCTATTGTCCAACTTCAGTTGATTCTGCCATGCAGCCAGGGACGAGGCTCATAAAGCCTCAGGTTGTTCATGAAAGTAATTTGGAAAAGGTTCCAACGGTAATTACAGTACCGTATTTTCCGCACTAAAAGGCGCACCTAAAAGCTTTCCATTTTCTATAATGTTTAAAAAATATACACTCATTAAAAAAAAAAAATAAAATAGCAACACACCTTTTCTTTTTGTCACGATTGAACGGTTAATGAGGCCGAGAAAGCAAAAGGAAGTGTGGTTCCACCCAAACAGAAATATAATTCCTTTTTTATTCGAGAATGGGCAATTCCAAAACCAAATTAGAATATGTATCTTTTTCATTTTATCATCAAGCTAATATTTTGTAGTTAAAAAAGTTCGGAAAAGTGGAGTCAGTCATTTGAAACAGTGCCGTCTTTTCCAATGTTGGAAAGGAAGCACTCTTTCTCTCTCTCTCTCCTTCTCCTGATGACATCATCCAACAAAAGTTGAAGGAAAGATGGCATAAAAAAGAAGAGATTTGACTTTCTGAAGAGGCCCCTGATATAAGGTAAACTAACATGTTTATTTTTTTGTCATTTCTCGTCATGTATGCTTAAAGGTTGATAAACCTGCCTGGCCAATGAGTGACAAGCAGTGGTTTGATATACTTTTTTTTTTTTTTTTCACTGAGATGGTTGTGAATGGTAATTCAATGCAAATGTGAACTTCCAAACCAACAGTACTGATTAGTAATGGCTAACAGAGGGCAATTTAAACAGCAGGATAATTAAGCCCCATAGTAAAGAGAGAGCACTTGTTAAGACAGGAGTCACAATCGAAATCAGATTCAACATGTAGTTTTCTTCATCTGATTAAAAAAAAACAAAAACAAAAAAAAAAAACTAACTTCACAGCCCACTTCGTGTTTACACTGAAAGTTATTGGCAGTTGTTATCATCCGAAAATTACTTTTTTTTTCCTTGAACTAATTAATGTGACTCTTGAGTGTTTATTACTTACTTTTATGTCTTCCCCCAAAATAATTAGGAGCCGGTGTTTTAGCCTATTTAATCCCCAATTTTTTTCCAGATGTATAAACATCAAAATCAATCAGAATAATAACAATAATTTTAAAAATAATCACAATAATAATGATCGGCCCGGTCGACCTCACAGTGCAGAAGTATTGGCTTCAATTCCGGCCTCCCTGTGTAAAGTTTGCATGTTCTCTCTGGGCCTGCGTGGGTTTTCTCCGGGTACTCCGGTTTCCTCCCACATTCCAAAAACATGCATGGCAGGAATCAGATTCAACATGTAGTTTTCTTCATCTGATTAAAAAAACAAAAACAAAAAAAAAACTAACTTCACAGCCCACTTCGTGTTTACAGTGAAAGTTATTGGCAGTTGTTATCATCCTAAAACTACTTTTTTTTCTTGAACTAATTAATGTGACTCTTGAGTGTTTATTACTTACTTTTATGTCTTTTCTGAAAATAATTAGGATCCTGTGTTTTAGCCTATTTAATCCCCAATTTTTTTTCCAGATGTATAAACATCAAAATCAATCATAATAATAACAATAATTTTAAAAATAATCATAATAATAATGATCAGCACGGTGGACCCGTGGTTAGCGCGTCGACCTCACAGTGCAGAAGTATTGGCTTCAATTCCGGCCTCCCTGTGTAAAGTTTGCATGTTCTCTCTGGGCCTGCGTGGGTTTTCTGCGGGTACTCCGTTTTCCTCCCACATTCCAAAAACATGCATGGCAGGCTGATTGAACACTCAAAAATTGTGCCTAGGTGTGAGTGTGAGTGCGAATGGATGTTCGTCTCTGTGTTCCGTGCGATTGGCTGGCATCCGGTTCAGGGTGTCCCCCGCCGACTGCCCGAAGACGGCTGGGATAGGCTCCAGCACCCCCGGGACAATTATGAGGATAAGCGGATTGGAAAATGGATGGATGGATAATAATGACAAGTAATTATTGACACATAAGTGAAAAAGCATGTTTTATGATTGGTCACAATTCTGACCGGTGGGATAATATTCTGCAATGTCACATAAAAACTCGGAAAGTGCTTTATTTTTATTTTTTAACAACACACGCAGAAGATCATATATGTCAACAATGAGTTTTGTTTTCTTTGAAAATAAACATGCGGTCATTTGCATATTTTGTACATGTCAATATAACATTCTAGTGCAGAATTCAACAGATGTACATTCCATTAAGTCCTAGAACACATTTGTTTGGGAAAAACGATTTCGAATTACTGTCAGTGAGTCAAACTGTCAATACAGGAAAAGATCATAAACGTAATATGAAAGAGAGGCCTGCCATGTTTTCAATTGTGGTGCCTCCTAATTGCATAAAAATTGTGATTGAATCTGGATCATCGGTCGGAATGATCCAATAGAAATGATCAACCAACAATCTGCACAATCCACGAATTGTTTTCCCCAAGATTTAATTTGGGGTTTGGATTAAAGCTTTGTAAATGTAATCTGCTATTAACGCAATGGTTGGAATGCTTTTATAATCCAGCTCGCAACAGTAATAAAAAAATAAGCGTTTAAAAGCATTTTTGGTTTGGATTGTGGGGGTGGGGGGGTAATGGGATGGAGTGGGGGGTATTCTACATAGAAAGAGATTTTATTGGTACACTAGTGGTTGTTTATGGTCATAAAAGGTCTAGGTGTGGTGTGTCCTTTGGGCCTATACTATCTTTTTTTGGTGTCATTTGTCCAACTTGGATTGTTAAATCACAAGGACAAGACTTTTTTTTTTCATGCGTACACAACACAGCCTCGACTCTCATTTAAAACTCTACTTGTATAGTTATGCTTGACTTCTCAGCATTTGTCCAAACTATCTTCAATTTACGGCATTTCATGTGCTTTAAAGGTAAAGGATCCCTCGTCTCTGTGAAATTGATCAATGGCCACCTTGATTCACCACTGAAATATTAATCTTAGCTTAGCATTTCTTGTCTTTGTTTCCAAAATGTCTGGCGGAATGAGGGCCCTTTCATCAACTCGAAATGTAACACTACCAATGTAATATAGTTCGATATAGTGCTATAGTAGATAGATAGTCAACAAGTATTTTTGTGGAAACATAATTTACATGTCCTTAACATCATCTGACACGTTTCCAGATAACCATATCAAAACGTACCAGAAATAAAAATGCATCCCCAAAAAATAATTTCATTCAAATTAAATGTGAATGAATTCCAAATGTAATTCCAATATAGGGTATATATTGGAAAAAAGAAACAATTGGCACATCTTAAGGTTAACCTTCTAAAGCAATTTTGTCAAACCCAAGGCCTGGGGGCCAGATCCGGCCCGCCAGGTCATTTTATGTGGCCCGCGAAAGCAAATCGTATGTGTCATCTTGCTAAAATCTGTACCGGAATGTCAAATTGTCATGTGTAATAAATAACGTTGATATTTTGCAATAATTTTGTTACTCAGTTTACACTCCCTTAAATAAAAATTAAACAAACCATTAGAATTGACTTGACTGATTTCAAAACTAGTAATCTATTAATTTGTTGTGTACAAGTAATACTTTTGTGGTTTCACTGTCATTACGACCCTCCGAGGGAAGACAAAACTCCAAACTGGCCAGCTACTAAAATGAGTTTGACACCCCTGTGCTAAAGGGTTTATAACAGCTTCATAGATTGATTATTACCAGTTGTTTGGATATTTTACAAAGAAATCGCCCCAAGTCATAAGATTTGCACGTGGCACTAGCTTAAACATACCTCACACAGTAAATTGTGGTAAGTAGTTTCCAAATGTTTACACTATTAGTGATTCAGTGTAGATAACATCATGACTAACCGAGTCATAAATCATTTGTGCCCTTATCGTAAAGTAATTTTAAACACCACATTTGGGAACCCGATTGCCGTGTTGACTTGTATAGTGCATACACAATATATCAAACAGCTGGAGAATGTCCAGTGGAATAAACTTTGATGTTCTACAGGTAGAAATAGTCATGCACAGCTCTTTAAATTTGAGAATAAAATGATGCTAAAGGACGGCACTGGGACATTTTTTTTTCTTTTTATTGGTACATATTACATAACATGCAGGCTGCCGCTAAAGTATCGACACAGACTACAAGGACATCCTCTTCATAATAAAAAAGCTGGATGATGCCAATCATCAACGGCAATAATTCCAAACCAGTATGAAAACTGTCCAGTTTCTCTTAATTAGTCCAAAGTCATTTTGCAAAAATAATGTCTTTTTGTTGATCTATTTATGCCAGCAACAGATGACAGGCAGAACAATTAAAATGCTCATCCACAAGATGGCATTTAAGCAGTGCACCCCATTTTTGTATGGTGGTGTCCCATACCATTCTTTACCCCCTCATGTTAAATATGTGCCTCGGCTCAAAAATGGTTGGGAAAGTCGTCAAACACAATCTGCGTATGCAACCCATGCCTTTATTGTAGCCATGCCTTACCTGATGTTATGGTGCCGGTGAATGTGGCCAACAACCCAAACAGCAGATGTCGAAAGTTCATCTCCAAGCCTCTGTGTCAAAGCTCCAATCCGTGATTTTTTTTTTTTTCTACCTTCCTTGACACTCCAAGCAGCTCCTGCTTTAGCACTGAAGCTCTTTAGCCCCAGCTGGATGATTTCAAGCAAGTGAAATCACCCCCAAACAAACTTTACCATCTCTCCCAGAGCGCTTTGTCAGCATCATCATCAACATCAGCATCGTCACCGGCCTGGAAGAACCTACAAGTCGGCAGTATCACTTGGACCCGCCCATAATCTCCCACACATGTAGGCTGTCTGATTGAACCCTGTCAGAATACAAAGAAAGGGTCGCTTTAACTCAGTCAAGCTCAGTCGTGAATAAGAAGAGTGTATTCTCGGCGTGCGCTCCAGACACCAGTGTGAGGCGAGAGCTGCACTCTGCCGGATGGCTGCAACAAATCCTCACCAAGCTCCACTCTTTAAAGGGACAGACACGACATCTGTGCTCCGTGTGAGTGTGTACGCACACACAAATCCCCATGCAATGGGGGGGAAAAAAATACAATGCAATCTCCCTTTGTTTGTTTTCGGTGTAATAGCTTAGTAAAGCTCTGAGCGAATTAACAGTGAGGACATCACAAGGACAAAAATGGAGACTGGGCCAAATTGGAGTGAAAAGATAAGTAATTTTTAGCAGCATTACGGCTCACGTCTATTTTCAGATACCGGCTTTAGAATGACTCCAAGCAAACAGAACACGAATACAGTATTTTGTTTTTAGATGGACAAAAAAAAGCACAATACAATTAATTTGAGCGAGGGACATACATAAATACCATTAATCTGACTGATCCATCCATCCATCCATTTGCTGATCCACTTTATCCTCACAAGGGTCACGGGGGTGCTGAAGCCGATCCCAGCTGTCTTCAGGCAGTAGGCGGGGGACACCCTGAACCGGTTGCCAGCCAATTGCAGGGCACACACAGATTAACACCCATTCGTGCTCACACTCACACTGCGGACCAATTTAGAGTGTTCAATCAGCCTGCCATGCATATTTTTGGAATGTGGGAGGAAAACGGATACCCGGAGAAAACCCACGCAAGCCCGAGGAGAACATGCAAACTCCACACAGGGAGGCCGGAGCTAGAATTGAACCCGGTACCTCTGCACCGTAAGGTCAACGCATTTACCACTGGATCACCGGGCCTAATTCAAGCATTTTTCCTCTCTTCCGATCAAACTCAGCAAGTCTCAATTATCGCATCATATATCTAAAAGATTATTCTGAGCCATTATCATGTGACGTGCAGTGTGTTCACAGTGATTTTTCCTTTGTGATCTGCGTGGAAAAAGGTCAGGGCAGACGATTGTAAATGTTCAATATCACCAATAGGACATCCTTATAATGTATGGCCAACACAGACGGACAAATAGATTTTAATATAAACAGATAAGATCACTGTAATATTTCTCACGAGTCATTCCTCACAAACGAAATGACAAGAGTTTGAAGTACCAATGTGGTTACCAGATAAGCTAACAAGTAGCCTAGCTTCTTCGCTTGCTACTACTACTTCTTCTTTAGTTGCATGCAGTCTCGATGCCTTCCGGCACCATGTTGCTTATCACAGGTCAGTCTTGGTACTACAATAGAGACCCAAAATTGGTGGTGGAACACATCTGACATTTTATATTTGGTTGGTTCAAATGCGGGTGGGTACGCATCTTCAGAAATTGTTTGGGTACAATTTTTCAAATGAACACACTGTGTCTTGTTTGTATGTGTCAGCGGGGGATCAATCTGATAAAATAATAGTGGTGAGGTTCAAGTAGTGGCTGATTGATGATCTGAAGCACCTGTGCGCCACCTGTGCGCTGTGCAAGATAGCTAAAATTAGGTGCGCGTGGCAACAGAAGCTAATTGAGATCTGCACTACTGCAAGGTAATACCTGTAAAGTAATCCATTTCTCACAAATTCTAAGTAAAAGATTGACGGGATTCATTTAAGGATTCTGCTAATAAAAGCTCATTCACTTCACTCTGAGGTGAATTCAATAACCCCATATGGGTAAGCAGTTCCAGGACAAGTTCAATGCTAACAGGCTAAAGCACAAGTGTCTTCGAGGGCCTGCATGTTTTGGATGTTTCCCAACTCCAATACACCTGATTTTTGCTTTCTGCGAATACAACTTCAACAAGATACATGGAGTTTGCTAGGTCAGCTTGCTGGTGTACAGAGGGAAATGGAGAGACACAAAATCAACAAGCCATCCGCCAGCCATGAGTTACTCATCCCAACATAAAAGCGCCGAATGATTTTGCCGTGTATAACTAATCATCCTGTGGGTCAGAGCAGAGCCACCATGTAGCTAATTTATTCGGCAGCTGTTGTTCCCACCCACAATCTGGCCATGTTGGCGTCTCCACAGGCTTAACTGGGTGTCTCTCTTGTGGAGTGCTGTGGACACACGTCTCCCTGGAGAGGGGACTGGGGGGATTGGGGTGGGGGGGTGGGGGGTACAAGCTCACTTTCACTCAGAGCAAATGGTTCCGCCATCTCATCCCTCCGCCTCATTGTGTCCGTGTCACACCAGGAGAGGCGGTCATGATGGAGAATGACTTTTGGTTGCCTTTGTTCTCTCTGAATGCGACTCAGGAATCGGGCTGCTCAAGAGGAGTCCAGATGTCCGTTGCAGAGTGGGACACAAAGAGAGGCCCCACAATTGCTCCGTTTCTGCTTTAGTCGAAGTGTGCAGTTTATTTGTGGGGGGCCACAAAGAGCATCGAAGCATGAAATAGAGGTGAATGTCCTGGAGGTGTCACTTGAGAGGATTAGTGTCATTGTCCTCAAAAAGCCCCAAAAATGTGATCAGACACTCGCAAATAGTGTCTTTGATGTACAGTGCCGTCTTCTCCATTTTGTGTGTGTGTGTGTGTGTGTGTGTGTGTGTGTGTGTGTGTGTGTGTGTGTGTGTGTGTGTGTGTGTGTGAAGATGTTGGAAATGCTTCTTGTCATTTTCTTTGTGGTGAATGACTCGTGAGACACGTTATCAAAGGGGTCAGCAACCTTTTCGAAACTTGGCTATTGCTTTGGTACTGATTAATGCGAAGGGCTACTAGTTTGATACACACTTCGAAAATAACATATTTGCTGGGATTACCTTTCATAATTAATTCATTTGTGTGAAGACACTGATCATTTTAATGATTTCTCACAATAATTGAGAAACATGTCAGTATCAATATGGAGCACTTTAATTCTATAAATCTCGGCCGATGTTTACATTTCCAAATGATCACTTCATCATTTCAAAAATAAAAAATCACAATGTTTCATCACTTGTGAGCTATCTTTAGAACAAACTCGCAGACTACTCATATGATCCTTGTGGGCTACCCTACCTGGTGCTTGTGGGCAACATTTGGGTGACCCCTGCATTATGCAAACTCAATCCGGCTGTAAACATTTAGGATTTATGATCTCAACTGTATCTCCGAGCTGATTGATGGACAGAAAAAAAATAGGAAAAAAAATCACTCTTAACACACAACCACACCACAGATTAATTGCCTGACTTTCGTCACTAAAAGTAAAGCCAAACTCTCAATTGGATGTCTGAGATTTGGGCCTTTGCTGACTTTTGTCCCAAGGAAGGGAGAAAAAAAAAACAAATGCACATTCATCCAGATTATTGGCAGCTTTAGCTTTGAAAGGCGCACACAATTTTGCAGTTGCACCCGCAATCATTGCAGGTTATGACAACTCAAGAGCGGGAACTCAGTTCAGTTAACATGAAAATGTTAATTGCACCTTTTGCTTTTTCTTTAGCTTTTTTTTTTCATCAGTACCATGAGATGTATGTATATTGAATAACTTCTTTTCAGACGTGTACTTCAGTTCATGTTAAAAAAAAATCAATTGACAAATTAGGTTGCACTATTGAGCACTCATTTGTCATTTAGACTTTTTCGTGTGTTTTATTGTTTTAGCATATTCATTTCACAATGTTTAGCTGATTTTAAAATATATATAAAATTGCTTATAATGTTCATTTGAATTGAAAACTGACGGTACATTTAAAGGTTTCAAAATGGCAAAGGTTTTGAACCTGGAACAAATGACTCCGTTTGACATTATTTCCTATGGTGAATCATTCAAACAAATCCCGTATTTTTTCGTAAAAGTAATGGAAAACAGCTTGGAAGTTAAGGGAAATGACTTCCAGCGCAGAAAATGGATGCCACCTCGCCGACTTGGTCATTTGGATTCAGGTACAAGCTATTCCCTGGACAAAGTGCGCGCATCAAAATGTCAAGCGCTCCATTTAAAGCACATGTAATATATTTGGAAAGAGCAAAATTTCCGTTAAACCCCTAAAGCACAATCTATATGGAAGGATTTTGTATTACTGTCATTCCAGGTTATGTGCATGTGTGTGATAAGGAATTTAAAGTTGCCACCGCAGGTTATGTTGTGTATGTTGTGACAGAAGGGGGGTCGAGATGGTGAACTGGAACAGCCAATCTGCTTGATGTAGAATGTAAGATTCAGCTGTCCGCTTAAACCTCCCGGACTCTGACCTTATGTGTCTCACTTTAGCTCACTCTGACAAAATGCAACCTCCTGTAATATGTTTCCCAAAATAACCACATACACCCAAAAATCATCAAACAAAGACAAATGCCATCTATTCCAGGGCCTTCCACTTTAAAGACATTTTCCCCATAAGAAACAATGTAAATAAAACATATACAGAGAACCCCTGATACTGGTGGTGTTATCGTTTCCATAAATGTCCCAATGACTTGCCGTTACAGTACAAAACTGGTGGCATCCCACAAGACTCACTGCTCACGCCACAGATTTTTACAGTTTGTTATACTTAACCTGAACATCAAAATTACTTGGTGCTCCAGTAGTAAAGATACCGAGACCGCCTGGGCTACAACAGTCCTGACATTCGAGGTGATACATGACATGCAATTAACCGGCTTGCAGAGCAGTTTAAGAATGTGCTATCACTCAGCACAAGGAGGTAGGCAGTTATCGTCGTACAGCACACGTCAAAGGGTTGAGTAATATTTATTTTGAGCCCTCTTGGAATTGCTGTTTAATATTATTCGTATAGAAAAGTTGTGAATCAACTATCGGGAGGTTTCGACATGCCCAAAAGCTCACCAATTTTTTGTAAGCAATTACATCCTGGTGAAAGCTGATGTATTTTAGTGGACATTATGTGTTTTAACGGCCACAAACATCAACCACCAATCTGAACTAAACAAATAAATAAATAGTAAACCTGTAACAACAGTATTTTACATATTTGAACTTTTTTCCCTCATCTCTCACGACAAATGTTTTGGCCCACTCTTGGTTTCAAAAAAATAAAATGTGGCCCTTGGGCACCAAAGTTTTCCCACCTCTGCTCTAGT